CCGACCCCCCCCCCCCCAGGTACCCCGTTTAAAGCACCACGGTTCCTAAAACATTGGATTAGCTGAGTGAACTTTATCACTAAAGCTAAAACCACCGTTGTTGCCGCCATCCACCAGTCCCACAAATCAGAACAAAATGGTGCAGAACAAGATCACCGAAGTTACCGGATTCCATCGCTCTTTTAAGGTGAGAGTGTGATCTCACTCGTCTCTACTACTGTTGCATGAATAAATATTTAATTGTTTTGGCATTAGGCGATGGATCACATCACATAATAGGCATAAATGTTTTCATTTATTTATACGTTGGACGAGTTAAGAGATCAGGTTTATTCCATTGCATAGGGTATCAGAGATCTTAGGACATTTATTAAACATTAAACCGAATGCCAAGAGGCTCTTAGTTGTTCATTAGAAGCCCAGTAATAAGTATAAGCAGGGCATTTAACAAATGTGCAACATTGTTGAACTGTTGAAGTCTTGAGTAATATATATTTTTTAATCTCCAGGGCCAAAATCCCTTTGAATCTGAGGAATTTTCCAAAACAGGATCCCATCTCCTTGAATCTGCCTTCAATTTTGATTGTTCCGCCCGACTTGGTAAGTTTTTTTTCTTTTTTTTTATATCTAACTGTTATGGAAAAACCAATAGGAAGACCTGAAAGCTCTGCCTGTGATTCGTGGCCTTACACCAATGTTTACATATTTTACCTTTAAAGATAAGGGATGAATACTATCTGCTTATTTTTTCTTAGTATGATCCAGCTGCGCTCTGTGGGTGTTTATATTGGAATTTTCTTTCTGTTGTGACACACAGACATGCCATCCAGCCAGCCCATCGACATCCCAGATGCCAAAAAGAGAAACAAGAAGAAAAAGAGATGCAGGGCAACAGACAGCTTCTCAGGGCGATTTGAGGGTAAGTGCATATCAGATGGGGCGACATCTATTTTTGCACGGCTAAGGTGTTACAATTTCACCAGGGAAATTATTCAAGTATACTTTTACAGTTTGACAGGTCCGAATAGGTTCAGTAGTGTAATAACACTTTTTTGTTTTGATTTCAGATGTATATAAACTGCAAGATGAGGTGCTGGGAGAAGGGGCCTATGCCAGAGTCCAGACCTGCATCAACCAAATCACCCACAAAGAATATGCTGTGAAGGTAAGATGCTTTACAGGTTACGTGCGTTACATTTGAACTAACCTGAGCTGCTACAATACAGTGTCATTTAAAATAGCAGTTGCATTCTGTAAACAGATTTTCCATGTGAAGCGTCCGTGCAGATATGGCATTCAAGAGCTATTGTTAGAAAGGACTTTCCCTTTGAAGCCGTCTCTTGGAAATGGAATCAAATGGGTTACGGGAATTACATTTCCATCTTTGGTGAGCAGACGTGACTGTAGTTGTTTTGTGCTGACTGGCACTGTTGCATATGTTTGGTGAGGGCTTGCTAGATTCCTGCAAGCTGTGGATGGTGAGGTCACGCTCAGGCCATGCTTATGAGATGCACACTTGGATTTGAAAATCTTGATATTACAGCATTCATTATGTAACATGTTTTTAAAAATCTGTGAATAATATTTACTATTTGCACATGCTTGTTTAGCCATTTTCTCTTAACCGAGTGATGATGTTGTTGTTCACACACACGGATATTTGAACACATAGTCCCTCTGTTGTGCTACTGTAGTTTTACAAGTTACAGAGCAGACTTAGTGGAAAGACTTTATTGTTTTTGTTAGACCGGTTGAAAGGCCAACCAATCAGAGACGGGAAACAGTCTCATGCTCTTACCGTTCATCGCTCTTATTGGCTGGTAGATTGTACCGTGGCGGTAACATAATGTACTGGCAAGTCTGCCAAAACATAAACCTCAAGAGAAGGGGGGGCTAGGGTGGAGTTAAATCCTTGAAGTGTTTACCTACTTTTTTTTTTTTTTTTGTCTGTCTCGCACATTGCGGAATCTAGAACAAAAGCATATTAGGAAATGTACATTGTGTGCCAGGAATATGTTTTGTTTTTACTTACTGATTTGAGGAAGCTCAAGTGTTGTGACATTTTGCATGTTTTGTTTTTCTTACAGTATAACTTCATAAAAACTCTATTTTGTTCATTTCAATATTTTTTATCAAACTTTAAAAATGGTCTTTCTTGTTTTAATTTACATTTTTAGCATTTAAAATATGCTTTTTTCCAAAGAGAAATAATATAGCATATTTTATTTAAATATAAGGTGGTCGTATAGGCCAGCCACACAAAGACGATACAATGATTTAGGGATGTGTTTCAATCCCTGAGGGGGGTGGATCATTACAAGCATTAGGTCAGTTTATGCTGGGATGGGTTTCAGACAACTCTCACCAGATGTCCTGCCAACCCCCTCCTCCTCTTTGCGTAGTTTGTGTCAGGGGGGAGAGATCTGTGGCGTCCCGGTCTGAACAAAAGGAAAGGCTGAATGAAAACAACCCCAGTAGCTGCCTCAGCTGGGCCTAGGTAGTGTTTACAAGTGAGGTTTGATTTACAGACGGTGGTCAGACTCTATAGGGCCCCTTCTAAAGCTAACATGGAGATTTATGGGCACTCTCACTTGCATCATATAGCATACAATGTATTTGCCAACATATTGTAAAAGCTCTTCTGTGCAGCAAATAACATGTTTAGACTTCAGCAACTAGGTGAAATCTGTCACCACATCCCTCAGGTTCCCGCAAGCATTTATAATACCCTGTAATTTTTTTTTGGTGACTTTTGAGTGGATTGATTGCTGACTCAGGCGTGTGGCAGCAGCGCTGGGGTTTTTGGGAATGCGCTGGCCTGCAGGCCTCATTCTTGACCATGATACGCATTGTGTGCTCGTCTGCACGTTCTCAATAGTACTGCTAATCCAGGGAGCTGGAAGAGCCGCACAGAGTCAGGAAAACACAGAGGCCTCACATGGGGGAGGATGTGATTCAATGTCAACAGTAACTTTTGCTTGTGCATTTGGTTGTTGTACTCGGGGATTAAGTGAATGGTGTGGGCCCCTCATTGTCACTTTAAAAAAAAAATGTAAAGCAGTTTTTTGGGGGATATTTCATCCAAGAATAAAATTCAGTTTTTACTCACCTTCATGTTGTTCTAAACATATGACATTCATTCATCTGTGAAACAAAAAAGTATTTTTCTCTCCATACAGTGAAAGTGGAGGCAAAATCAGCATTAAACATTTAAATTTGCACATCAAATTATATATGTTTGCATTTCATACATAAAACACACTTGATAGTTCACTTTTTTTGGTGAACTATTACTTTAAAGTGGTTTAATTTGTAATCAGATTGTCACTTAGGCTACGTTTACACGACAACGGTGTAGTCAAAAACAGAAAAGTTTTTCCCTTGCGTTTTTAAAAAGTTTCACGTATACACGACATTTTCAAAACGATTCGCGTTTACACATATCCGCAAAAAACGGCCAAAAACACTGTATTACGTATTCCAGGCCAGTATGCCAGTGTCAACTGGTTAGTAAACAGTACCTGTAGGGAAGTGACAATTATGTGATGTAAATGATGCATCTCCGCTGTTGGTTGTAATATTGGTGAAGTAAATCCACACTTTGCTGAAGAAGCATTAGCAAACTCTTGAGCAGCAACAACAGTACCATGCACTCCGCCATTGTTGTGTATGTTTGTTCGCGCTTGCCTTTAAAATCGTCAGGTTCTGCACGTCTACATACCTAACACATACTACGCACATGCATGACGTCACCGTTTTCAAAGATTCCCATATTGGGTGTTTACACGGAAACGATAACGGTGCCATTTTCAAAAACTTGCACTTTGAAACCTGTTTTCAAAAATATGCGTTTTCAGTCCCCAAAACGTCGTTGTCGTGTAAACGAACAGTCAAAACACATAAAAAGTTTCCTGTGTTTGGCTGAAAACGTTGTCGTGTAAACGGCCCCTTAGATTAAGGGGCAGTTGTCACCTTAGGATTGTTGTTTCTCATTTGGCTTTGATCCTAACCTGCCATTTTTTTTTTCACCTCGTAGATCATTGAGAAAAGGCCAGGACACAGTAGGAGTCGTGTTTTCAGAGAGGTGGAAATGCTGTACCAGTGTCAGGGGCACAGGTAACCTATTCTTTATTCTTTTCACAGGCAATGAAAAATGTGTATGTTGTGCATTCTAATGCGGCAATGTGGTTTTAACTCAAAATGTTGTCTTTTGTCCACCCAACAGAAATATTCTGGAGCTGGTGGAGTTCTTTGAGGAGGAGGACAAGTTTTACCTTGTGTTTGAGAAGCTGAGAGGAGGTACGTGTGTTTTCTGTAGTGTTATGTTACTGTTGAGAAACACTACCCAGTCTCCCCTGGGCCCAAAGACCAGCCATGAGTAATTAAATTGAGAGCCCCGCCATTGGAATGTGAAGATCACGTGCCCCGGTTTTAATGTGTAACAATGTGGTGTTGTTTTTTTAAGGCTCTGTCTTGGCCCACATTCACAAGAGGAGATACTTCAGCGAGCAGGAAGCCAGCATTGTGGTGCAGGACATTGCGAGTGCACTGGACTTCCTTCACAATAAAGGTATGAGAACACCGACTGGGAGGAGTGCTTTAGGCCTGGAAAAGGGAGATAAGAAGATGGTGTTACACATGGGGGATGGCTTTCTCTGGAGACAGTTGGGGAAGGGGAGGTTATGGGGGTTGTTGGAAATTGTATCGAGTTGATCATATTTCATCGACTAACTTGACGTTTTATTCCTGTCAGTACTGTTGGGTGAAGGGATGCTAAGCCAATTTTAGTAGCACTTGTCAACAAGCTGTTTTGGAAACATTCGCCTATCTTTGCCCCAGTCGACAATCCTCACTTAGCCTGAATACCACACTACTAACGCATGACTTGTGTTTGCGCTTTTGTAGGAATGGCCCACAGAGACCTGAAGCCTGAAAACATCTTGTGTGAACACGAGAAAAGGGTGAGTCTTTTACGACAGCATGTTTGCCTAGTTAGAGGCTCAGACTACACTTTGCATTTGTGGTAAAAGTTTAATCGGATGATTTGAGGTTTCCAAGCAGACTATAAATGCTCGATCATGCTCAGCAGTTGTGGATGGAGTCATTTCTGAGCAAAGGTTTTTCATCTGATTTCCTGTTGATGTGTTTCTTGCAGATTTCGCCTGTGAAGATATGCGATTTTGATCTTGGCAGTGGAATTAAACTCAACAGTGACAGTTCACCCATCTCCACTCCAGAGCTCCTCACTCCAGTAAGTGTCTTTGTGACCCTAAACAAAGTATTGCATTTGACTGAGAAACAAACATAAGCTGTTAACGGCCGTCTCCCTGTTGTTTTGAAGTCTATGGATAAGATATACACATTGTCAATGTCATTTCTTATCAGGAGGACCTGCTTTAATGCGATTTGACGATGTTGTGTGGTGTCAGTAGGGTAGCTCATTCTGATTGGCTGATTTAATCATTCTAAAGACAGTGATGAAGGAATGGTTTTATGACCCCAATTTGAAGAAGCCAAAATCTGTTTTGAGATAGTGGAGCAGCAGTATTGAGTCCATTCTTAATTTATCTACATCGACTTAACAAACTTGTTGCTAACTTGTGGCATACAACCTTACAACATTAAAACCAATTTTTGTTTCTTTCAAAATTTGAAATGGGCTTCATTATTCTAAGCTCTTGAGTTTAGTGTGTGTGTGTGTGTGTGTGTGTGTGTGTGTGTGTGTGTGTGTGTGTGTGTGTAGCCTACTTTCTTTTTCG